CTCACTCACCCACCCACCCACTCACTCACCCACCCACTCACTCACCCACTCACTCACCCACTCACTCACTCACCCACCAACACACCCACCCACTCACCCACCCACCCACCCACTCACCCACCCACTCACTCACCCACGCACTCACCCACTCACCCACCCACTCACCCACCCACTCACTCACTCACCCACCCACTCACCCACCCACTCACTCACTCACCCACTCACTCACCCACTCACTCACCCACTCACCCATCCACCCACCCACTCACCCACCCACTCACTCACCCACCCACCCACCCACTCACCCACCCACTCACTCACTCCCTCACCCACCCACCCACTCACTCACCCACCCACCCACTCACCCACCCACTCACTCACTCACCCACCCACTCACCCACCCACTCACTCACTCACCCACTCACTCACCCACTCACTCACCCACTCACCCACTCACTCACCCACCCACCCACCCACTCACTCACCCACTCACTCATCCACTCACTCACCCACTCACTCACCCACCCACTCACTCACCCCCCCACCCACCCACCCACTCACCCACCCACCCACACGTAGTAACACAGTAGCAGCAATAACAAAGTAAAAAGTCGACGTTCTTCGCTGCAGAAGAACTCAAACTATCGAGCGCTGTTGGATTTGGCGCCCTGAGGGAGTCCGCCTGCTGCCCTCTTGACGTGGGGAAGTCGCCTTCCAGCGGGGAGATTGTAGCTCATCGTGCGGAGATAACCTCGAATTAGAACGTTTTTCTAGCGATTCCCGTCGGAAATTCCATCACCGCTGAGGGAAAATCGTGCCTTGTTGACCTGATGGTCGAGTTTGTTTGGCTAAATTTGCATCTTCTCAGTCACCCACTCAGTCACTCACTCAGTCAGTCACTCAGTCAGTCAGTCACTCAGTCACCCCCCCACCCACTCACCCACTCACTCACTCATCCCCCCACCCACTCACTCACCCACTCACTCACCCAACCACTCACCCAACCACTCACCCACTCACCCACCCACCCACTCAGTCACTCACTCACCCACTCACTCACCCACTCATTCACTCACTCACCCTCGAATTAGAACGTTTTTCTAGCGATTTCCGTCGGAAATTCCATCGCCCCTGAGGGAAAATCGTGCCTGGTTGACCTGATGGTCGAGTTTGTTTGGCTGGATTTGCGTCTTCTCAGTCACCCACTCAGTCACTCACTCAGTCAGTCACTCAGTCAGTCAGTCACTCAGTCACCCCCCCACCCACTCACCCACTCACTCATCCCCCCACCCACTCACTCACCCACTCACTCACCCAACCACTCACCCAACCACTCACCCACTCACCCACCCACTCAGTCACTCACTCACCCACTCACTCACTCACCCACTCATTCACTCACTCACCCTCGAATTAGAACGTTTTTCTAGCGATTCCCGTCGGAAATTCCATCACCCCTGAGGGAAAATCGTGCCTGGTTGACCTGATGGTCGAGTTTGTTTGGCTGAATTTGCGTCTTCTCAGTCACCCACTCAGTCACTTACTCAGTCACCCACTCAGTCACTCAGTCACTCACCCACTTAGTCACTCAGTCACTTACTCACTCAGTCACTCACCCACCCACTCACTCACCCACTCACCCACTCACTCACTCACCCACTCATTCACTCACTCACCCTCGAATTAGAACGTTTTTCTAGCGATTCCCGTCGGAAATTCCATCGCCCCTGAGGGAAAATCGTGCCTGGTTGACCTGATGGTCGAGTTTGTTTGGCTGAATTTGCGTCTTCTCAGTCACCCACTCAGTCACTGGTGAGTCAGTGGTGAGTGGGTGGGTGAGTTAGTTGAGTGGTGAGTCTGTGAAGTGAGTGGTGAGTGAGTGAGTGGTGAGTGAGTGAGTGGTGAGTGAGTGAGTGGTGAGTGAGTGGTGAGTGAATGGTGAGTGAGTGGTGAGTGAGTGAGTGGTGAGTGAGTGGTGAGTGAGTGAGTGAGTGGTGAGTGAGTGAGTGAGTGGTGAGTGAGTGAGTGGTGAGTGAGTGCGTGGTGAGTGAGTGGTGAGTGAGTGAGTGACTGAGTGAGTGAGTGGTGAGTGAGTGGTGGGTGAGTGAGTAAGTGAGTGGTGAGTGAGTGGTGAGTGAGTGGTGAGTGGTGAGTAATTGGTGAGTAAGTGGTGAGTGACTGAGTGAGTTGGTGAGTGAGTGAGTGGGTGAGTGAGTGGTGAGTGAGTGGTGAGTGAGTGGTGAGTGAGTGAGTGGGTGGTGGGTGAGTGAGTGGTGAGTGAGTGGTGAGTGGGTTTGTGGGTGAGTGAGTGGTGAGTTGGTGAGTGGGTGAGTGAGTGGTGAGTGAGTGAGTGGTGAGTGAGTGAGTGAGTGGTGAGTGAGTGAGTGGTGAGTGAGTGGGTGAGTGAGTGAGTGAGTGGTGAGTGGGTGAGTGGGTGAGTGAGTGGTGAGTGAGTGGTCAGTGAGTGAGTGACTGAGTGAGTGGTGAGTGAGTGGTGAGTGAGTGGGTGGTGAGTGAGTAGTGAGTGAGTGCGTGGTGAGTGGTGAGTGAGTGGTGAGTGAGTGGTGAGTGAGTGGTGAGTGAGTGAGTGGTGCGTGAGTGAGTGAGTGAGTGGCGAGTGAGTGAGTGGTGAGTGAGTGGTGAGTGAGTGAGTGAGTGGTGAGTGAGTGGTGAGTGAATGGTGAGTGAGTGGTGAGTGAGTGAGTGGTGAGTGAGTGGTGAGTGAGTGAGGGAGTGGTGAGTGAGTGAGTGAGTGGCGAGTGAGTGAGTGGTGAGTGAGTGGTGAGTGAGTGAGTGGTGAGTGAGTGGTGAGTGAGTGAGTGAGTGGTGCGTGAGTGAGTGAGTGAGTGGCGAGTGAGTGAGTGGTGAGTGAGTGGTGAGTGAGTGAGTGGTGAGTGAGTGGTGAGTGAGTGAGTGAGTGGTGCGTGAGTGAGTGAGTGAGTGGCGAGTGAGTGAGTGGTGAGTGAGTGGTGAGTGAGTGAGTGAGTTGGTGAGTGAGTGAGTGAGTGGGTGAGTGAGTGGTGAGTGAATGGTGAGTGAGTGGTGAGTGAGTGAGTGGTGAGTGAGTGGTGAGTGAGTGAGTGAGTGGTGAGTGAGTGAGTGAGTGGTGAGTGAGTGAGTGGTGAGTGAGTGCGTGGTGAGTGAGTGGTGAGTGAGTGAGTGACTGAGTGAGTGAGTGGTGAGTGAGTGGTGGGTGAGTGAGTAAGTGAGTGGTGAGTGAGTGGTGAGTGAGTGGTGAGTGGTGAGTAATTGGTGAGTAAGTGGTGAGTGACTGAGTGAGTTGGTGAGTGAGTGAGTGGGTGAGTGAGTGGTGAGTGAGTGGTGAGTGAGTGGTGAGTGAGTGAGTGGGTGGTGGGTGAGTGAGTGGTGAGTGAGTGGTGAGTGGGTTTGTGGGTGAGTGAGTGGTGAGTTGGTGAGTGGGTGAGTGAGTGGTGAGTGCGTGAGTGGTGAGTGAGTGGTGAGTGGTGAGTGAGTGAGTGGTGCGTGAGTGAGTGGTGCGTGAGTGAGTGAGTGAGTGGCGAGTGAGTGAGTGGTGAGTGAGTGAGTGGGTGAGTGAGTGGGTGAGTGAGTGGTGAGTGAGTGGTGAGTGAGTGGTGAGTGAGTGGTGCGTGAGTGAGTGAGTGGCGAGTGAGTGAGTGAGTGGTGAGTGAGTGAGTGGTGAGTGAGTGGTGAGTGAGTGGTGAGTGAGTGGTGAGTGAGTCTGTGTACAGTTTAACCCCTCAGGCTCAATATTCCACAGAAGGGAGTGGTGGGACAGTGGTGAGGCTGTCCATGTGGGCGGGTGACTGACTGTGACTCACTGACTGTCTCTCTCTCTGTGTCTCTGTGTGTGTCTCTGTGTGTCTCTCTGTGTCTCTGTGTCTCTCTCTGTGTCTCTCTGTGTGTCTCTCTGTCTCTCTATCTCTCTGTGTCTCTGTGTCTCTGTGTCTCTCTCTGTGTGTCTCTGTGTGTCTCTCTCTGTGTCTCTGTGTGTCTCTGTGTGTCTCTGTGTCTCTGTGTGTCTGTGTCTCTGTGTGTCTCTGTGTCTCTCTCTGTGTGTCTCTGTGTGTCTCTGTGTCTCTGTGTGTCTCTGTGTCTCTGTGTGTCTCTGTGTCTCTCTCTGTGTGTCTCTGTGTGTGTCTCTGTGTCTCTGTGTCTCTCTCTGTGTCTCTCTGTGTGTCTCTGTGTCTCTCTCTGTGTCTCTCTGTGTGTCTCTGTGTGTCTCTGTGTCTCTCTCTGTGTCTCTCTCTGTGTCTCTCTGTGTGTCTCTGTGTCTCTGTGTGTCTCTGTGTCTCTGTGTGTCTCTGTGTGTCTCTGTGTCTCTCTCTGTGTCTCTGTGTCTCTGTGTGTCTCTGTGTCTCTCTCTGTGTCTCTGTGTGTGTCTCTGTGTGTCTCTGTGTCTCTGTGTCTCTCTCTGTGTCTCTGTGTGTCTCTGTGTCTCTGTGAGTCTCTCTGTGTCTCTGTGTGTCTCTGTGTGTCTCTGTGTCTCTCTCTGTGTGTCTCTGTGTGTCTGTGTGTCTCTCTCTGTGTCTCTGTGTGTCTCTGTGTCTCTGTCTCTCTGTGTCTCTCTCTGTGTCTCTCTCTGTGTCTCTGTCTCTCTCTGTGTGTCTCTTTGTGTGTCTCTGTCTCTGTGTGTCTCTGTGTCTCTGTCTCTCTCTGTGTCTCTCTCTGTGTCTCTCTCTCTGTCTCTGTCTCTCTCTCTGTGTGTCTCTCTGTGTCTCTGTCTCTGTGTCTCTGTGTCTCTCTCTGTCTCTGTCTCTGTGTGTCTCTATGTGTGTCTCTGTGTCTCTGTCTCTGTGTCTGTCTCTTTGTGTCTCTGTGTGTGTCTGTGTGTCTCTGTGTCTCTGTCTCTCTGTGTCTCTGTCTCTCTCTGTGTCTCTGTCTCTCTGTGTCTCTGTCTCTCTGTGTCTCTCTCTCTGTCTCTGTTTCTCTCTGTGTCTCTGTGTGTCTCTGTGTCTCTGTCTCTCAGTGTCTCTCTGTGTGTGTCTGTCTCTGTGTCTCTGTCTCTGTGTCTGTCTCTCTGTGTCTCTGTGTGTGTCTCTGTGTCTCTGTGTCTGTCTCTCTGTGTCTCTGTGTGTGTCTCTGTGTCTTCTAGGGGCACAGTGAGGATGGTGGAACGACACCACGTGGTGATCCTGACCCTACTCCTCTACACGTGGTTTGTTGGTGAGTGTGTGAGTGGGTGAGTGGGTGAGTGAGTGAGTGGGTGAGTGGGTGGGTGGGTGAGTGGGTGAGTGGGTGAGTGAGTGAGTGGGTGAGTGGGTGGGTGAGTGAGTGGGTGGGTGAGTGAGTGGTTGAGTGAGTGGGTGGGTGAGTGGGTGAGTGAGTGAGTGGGTGAGTGAGTGAGTGGGTGAGTGGGTGGGTGAGTGAGTGGGTGAGTGAGTGGGTGAGTGGGTGGGTGAGTGAGTGAGTAAGTGAGTGGGTGAGTGAGTGGGTGAGTGGGTGGGTGAGTGAGTGAGTGAGTGGGTGGGTGAGTGAGTGGGTGAGTGAGTGGGTGGGTGGGTGAGTGAGTGGGTGGGTGAGTGAGTGAGTGAGTGGGTGGGTGAGTGGGTGGGTGGGTGAGTGGGTGAGTGGGTGAGTGGGTGGGTGAGTGGGTGAGTGAGTGGGTGAGTGAGTGAGTGGGTGAGTGGGTAAGTGAGTGGGTGAGTGAGTGGGTGAGTGAGTGAGTGGGTGAGTGGGTAAGTGAGTGAGTGAGTGGGTGAGTGGGTGAGTGGGTAAGTGAGTGAGTGAGTGGGTGAGTGAGTGAGTGGGTGAGTGGGTGAGTGAGTGAGTGAGTGGGTGGGTGAGTGGGTGGGTGAGTGGGTGAGTGGGTGAGTGAGTGGGTGGGTGAGTGAGTGGGTGGGTGAGTGAGTGGGTGAGTGGGTGGGTGAGTGGGTGGGTGAGTGGGTGGGTGATTGGGTGGGTGAGTGAGTGGGTGAGTGAGTGGGTGGGTGAGTGAGTGGGTGAGTGGGAGGGTGAGTGGGTGGGTGAGTGGGTGGGTGAGTGGGTGAGTGAGTGAGTGGGTGAGTGAGTGAGTGGGTGAGTGAGTGGGTGAGTGAGTGGGTGAGTGGGTGGGTGAGTAAGTGAGTGGGTGAGTGAGTGGGTGAGTGGGTGGGTGAGTGAGTGAGTGAGTGGGTGGGTGAGTGAGTGGGTGAGTGGGTGGGTGGGTGGGTGAGTGAGTGAGTGAGTGGGTGAGTGAGTGAGTGGGTGGGTGGGTGAGTGAGTGGGTGAGTGAGTGGGTGGTTGGGTAAGTGGGTGGGTGAGTGGGTGGTTGGGTGGTTGGGTGGGTGAGTGAGTGAGTGGGTGAGTGAGTGAGTGGGTGAGTGAGTGAGTGGGTGAGTGAGTGAGTGGGTGAGTGAGTGAGTGGGTGAGTGAGTGGGTGGGTGAGTGAGTGGGTGAGTGAGTGGGTGAGTGAGTGGGTGAGTGAGTGAGTGAGTGGGTGAGTGAGTGAGTGAGTAAGTAAGTGAGTGAGTGGGTGAGTAAGTGAGTAAGTGAGTGGGTGAGTGAGTGGGTGAGTGGGTGGGTGAGTGAGTGAGTGAGTGGTTGGGTGAGTGAGTGGGTGAGTGAGTGGGTGGGTGGGTGGGTGAGTGAGTGGGTGAGTGAGTGGGTGAGTGAGTGGGTGCGTGAGTGAGTGGGTGGGTGAGTGAGTGGGTGAGTGAGTGGGTGGGTGAGTGAGTGGGTGAGTGAGTGGGTGAGTGAGTGGGTGAGTGAGTGAGTGAGTGGGTGAGTGAGTGAGTGAGTAAGTAAGTGAGTGAGTGGGTGAGTAAGTGAGTGAGTGAGTGGGTGAGTGAGTGGGTGAGTGAGTGAGTGAGTTTGTGTAATTGTATTCTCTCTGATTGCAGATGCAGAAGACAATGGTGGCAGCTGTATTGAGGTATGTCTCTTTCTATAGTGTAGTAGTGTATAGTGTAGTGTAGTAGTTTATAGTGTAGTAGTGTTTAGTGTAGTGTATAGTGTAGTAGTGTATAGTGTAGTGTATAGTGTAGTAGTGTATAGTGTAGTGTAGTAGTGTATAGTGTAGTAGTGTATAGTGTAGTAGTGTATAGTGTAGTAGTGTATAGTGTAGTGTATAGTGTAGTAGTGTATAGTGTAGTGTATAGTGGAGTAGTGTATAGTGTAGTAGTGTATAGTGTAGTAGTGTATAGTGTAGTAGTGTATAGTGTAGTGTAGTGTATAGTGTAGTAGTGTATAGTGTAGTAGTGTATAGTGTAGTGTAGTAGTGTATAGTGTAGTAGTGTATAGTGTAGTGTATAGTGTAGTAGTGTATAGTGTAGTAGTGTATAGTGTAGTGTATAGTGGAGTAGTGTATAGTGTAGTAGTGTATAGTGTAGTAGTGTATAGTGTAGTAGTGTATAGTTTAGTAGTGTAGTGTATAGTTTAGTAGTGTAGTGTATAGTAGTGTATAGTGTAGTAGTGTGTAGTGTATAGTGTAGTAGTGTATAGTGTAGTGTATAGTGTAGTAGTGTATAGTGTAGTGTATAGTGTAGTGTATAATGTAGTGTATAGTGTAGTGTATAGTGTATAATGTAGTGTATAGTGTAGTAGTGTATAGTGTGTAGTGTATAATGTAGTGTATAGTGTAGTGTATAGTGTAGTGTATAGTGTAGTAGTGTATAGTGTAGTAGTGTATAGTTTAGTAGTGTATAGTGTAGTGTAGTGTATAGTGTAGTAGTGTATAGTGTAGTGTATAGTGTAGTGTATAGTGTAGTGTAGTGTATAGTGTAGTGTAGTGTATAGTGTAGTAGTGTATAGTGTAGTGTATAGTGTAGTAGTGTATAGTGTAGTAGTGTATAGTGTGTAGTGTATAATGTAGTGTATAGTGTAGTGTATAGTCTAGTAGTGTATAGTGTAGTAGTGTATAGTGTAGTAGTGTATAGTGTAGTAGTGTGTAGTGTATAATGTAGTGTATAATGTAGTGTATAGTGTGTAGTAGTATAGTGTAGTAGTGTAGTGTATAGTGTAGTGTAACGGGTGGTTCTCTCTCCCCGCGCAGCGAGCAAGTAGCAAGGCGGTGGCGTTGTTTCGAGCCCAGGACCTCAGCAAGTGCTCGCTCCGTACTGCTGATGACCTCACGGCATCTGTGGCCGCGATCGTGAATTTGCCACGTGACATGGACAGGCAATACCTACGTGTCCGTTCACTCAGTCAGGTGAGTGAACACTCACTCAGTCACTCAGTCAGTCAGTCAGTCACTCAGTCAGTCACTCAGTCAGTCAGTCACTCAGTCAGTCACTCACTCAGTCAGTTAGTCACTCAGTCAGTCAGTCACTCAGTCAGTCAGTCACTAAGTCAGTCACTCAGTCAGTCAGTCAGTCACGCAGTCAGTCACTCAGTCAGTCACTCAGTCAGTCAGTCACTCAGTCAGTCATTCAGTCAGTCAGTCACTCAGTGAGTCACTCAGTCAGTCACTCAGTCAGTCAGTCACGCAGTCAGTCACTCAGTCAGTCACTCAGTCACTCACTCAGTCACTCAGTCAGTCAGTCAGTCACTCAGTCAGTCAGTCACTCAGTCAGTCACTCAGTCAGTCAGTCACGCAGTCAGTCACTCAGTCAGTCACTCAGTCAGTCACTCAGTCACTCAGTCATTCAGTCACTCACTCAGTCACTCAGTCACTCACTCAGTCACTCAGTCAGTCACTCAGTCAGTCAGTCACTCAGTCACTCAGTCACTCAGTCAGTCAGTCACTCAGTCAGTCACTCACTCAGTCACTCAGTCAGTCAGTCAGTCACTCAGTCAGTCAGTCACTCAGTCAGTCAGTCACTCAGTCCGTCACTCAGTCAGTCAGTCACTCAGTCACTCAGTCACTCAGTCAGTCACTCAGTCAGTCAGTCAGTCACTCAGTCAGTCACTCAGTCACTCAGTTAGTCAGTCACTCAGTCAGTCACTCACTCAGTCATTCAGTCAGTCAGTCACTCAGTCAGTCACTCACTCAGTCAGTCAGTCACTCAGTCAGTCACTCAGTCACTCACTCAGTCACTCAGTCACTCACCTACTCACTCACTCATCACTCAGTCAGTCACTCACTCAGTCACTCACTCAGTCACTCAGTCACTCAGTCAGTCACTCAGTCACTCAGTCAGTCACTCAGTCACTCAGTCAGTCATTCAGTCACTCACTCAGTCATTCACTTACTCACCTACTTACTCACTCACTCATCACTCAGTCAGTCACTCACTCAGTCACTCACTCAGTCAGTCAGTCACTCAGTCACTCCGTCAGTCACTCAGTCAGTCACTCACTCGGTCACTCACTCAGCCACTCACTCAGTCACTCAGTCAGTCACTCACTCAGTCACTCACTTAGTCACTCAGTCAGTCACTCAGTCAGTCACTCACTCAGTCACTCACTCAGACACTCACTCAGTCACTCAGTCAGTCACTCAGTCACTCAGTCACTCACTCAGTCACTCACTCAGTCAGTCACTCAGACACTCACTCAGTCAGTCACTCAGTCACTCAGTCACTCAGTCAGTCACTTAGTCAGTCAGTCACTCAGTCACTCACTCATAACTCAGTCACTCACTCAGTCACTTAGTCACTCAGTCAGTCACTCAGTCACTCACTCAGTCAGTCACTCAGTCACTCAGTCAGTCACTTAGTCAGTCAGTCACTCAGTCACTCACTCATAACTCAGTCACTCACTCAGTCACTTAGTCACTCAGTCAGTCACTCAGTCACTCACTCAGTCACTCACTCAGTCAGTTACTCAGTCACTCAGTCAGTCACTCACTCAGTCATTCATTCACTCAGTCAGTCACTAAGTCAGTCAGTCAGTCACTTAGTCAGTCACTCAGTCAGTCAGTCAGTCACTCAGTCGGTCACTCAGTCAGTCACTCAGTCAGTCATTCAATCAGTCACTCAGTCAGTCACTCAGTCACTCACTCAGTCAGTCACTCAGTCAGTCACTCAGTCACTCACTCAGTCAGTCACTCAGTCAGGCACTCACACAGTCACTCACTCACACAGTCACTCAGTCAGTCAGTCATTCACTCACTCACTCATCTCTCAGTCACTCACTCAGTCACTCAGTCAGTCAGTCACTCACTCACCCACTCACTCACCCACTTACTCACTCACTCACTGTGTGTGTGTCTGTGTGTGTGTGTTTGTGTGTGTGTGTCTGTGTGTGTGTGTTTGTGTGTGTGTGTCTGTGTGTGTCTGTGTGTGTGTGTCTGTGTGTGTGTGTGTGTGTTTGTGAGTGTGTCTGTCTGTGTGTCTGTCTGTGTGTGTGTCTGTGTGTGTGTCCGTGTGTCTGTGTGTGTGTGTGTGTCTGTGTGTGTGTGTGTGTCCGTGTGTCTGTGTGTGTGTCTGTGTTACAGAAGGAAGATGCCTTCCTGAACTATACCAAGGTAATCACACTCACTCACTCTCTCTCTCAGTCACTCTCTCTCACCCACCCACCCACTCACTCACCCACTCACCCACCCACTCACTCACCCACTCACTCACTCTCTCACCCACCCACCCACTCACTCACCCACTCACCCACCCACTCACTCACCCACTCACTCACTCTCTCACCCACCCACTCACTCACTCACCCACCCACTCACTCACCCACCCACCCACCCACTCACCCACCCACCCACCCACTCACCCACCCACTCACTCACTCACCCACTCACCCACCCACTCACCCACCCACCCACTCACCCACCCACCCACCCACTCACCCACCCACTCACCCACCCACCCACTCACCCACCCACTCACCCACTCACTCACCCACTCACTCACCCACTCACCCACCCACTCACTCACCCACTCACTCACCCACTCACCCACCCACCCACTCACCCACCCACTCACCCACTCACTCACCCACTCACTCACCCACTCACCCACCCACTCACCCACTCACCCACCCACTCACTCACCCACTCACCCACCCACCCACTCACTCACTCACCCACTCACTCACTCACTCTCTCACCCACCCACTCACCCACCCACCCACTCACCCACCCACTCACCCACTCACTCACTCACCCACCCACTCACCCACCCACCCACTCTCTCACTCACTCACCCACCCACCCACTCACCCACCCACTCACTCACCCACCCACTCACCATCTCTCCAGTCTCTGATAGACTCTGTTGACAAGCTGGTGGACCAATCCTCCCTCTCCCTCACTCACCCACTCACCCACTCACCCACTCACCCACCCACTCACCCACTCACTCACCCACTCACTCACCCACTTACTCACCCACTCACTCACTCACCCACTCACTCACCCACTCACTCACCCACTCACCCACCCACCCACTCACCCACCCACCCACTCACCCACTCACTCACTCACCCACTCTCTCACCATCTCTCCAGTCTCTGATAGACTCTGTTGACAAGCTGGTGGACCAATCCTCTCTCTCCCTCACTCACCCACTCACTCACTCACCCACTCACTCACCCACTCACTCACTCACTCACCCACTCACCCACTCACCCACTCACCCACCCACTCACTCACCCACCCACTCACCATCTCTCCAGTCTCTGATAGACTCTGTTGACAAGCTGGTGGACCAATCCTCTCTCTCCCTCACTCACCCACTCACTCACTCACCCACTCACTCACCCACTCACTCACTCACTCACCCACTCACCCACTCACCCACTCACCCACTCACTCACTCACCCACCCACTCACCATCTCTCCAGTCTCTGATAGACTCTGTTGACAAGCTGGTGGACCAATCCTCTCTCTCCCTCACTCACCCACTCACTCACTCACCCACTCACTCACCCACTCACTCACCCACTCACTCACCCACTCACCCACCCACCCACTCACTCACTCACTCACCCACTCACCCACTCACTCACCCACCCACCCACTCACTCACCCACTCACCCACTCACTCACTCACCCACTCACTCACTCACCCACTCACCCACTCACCCACCCACTCACCATCTCTCCAGTCTCTGATAGACTCTGTTGACAAGCTGGTGGACCAATCCTCCCTGTCCCTCACTCACCCACTCACCCACTCACTCACCCACCCACCCACTCACCCACTCACCCACCCACTCACTCACCCACCCACTCACCATCTCTCCAGTCTCTGATAGACTCTGTTGACAAGCTGGTGGACCAATCCTCCCTCTCCCTCACTCACCCACTCACCCACTCACCCACCCACTCACTCACCCACCCACTCACTCACCCACTCACCCACCCACTCTCTCACCGTCTCTCCAGTCTCTGATAGACTCTGTTGACAAGCTGGTGGACCAATCCTCCCTGTCCCTCTGGGAGGCTTTGACGGAGTCCTCTCGACTGTCGCTGGCTGGCCAGCTTCTGGCGAGTGTTGAGAAAAGTTCATTCCTCCTGGCGATCAACCTCCACTCACGCGCCTCACTCCCACTGGAGCGGAGGAATCTCGGTGAGTAGACAGCCAGCTAGTCACTCACCTAGTCACTCACTCAGCTAGTCACTCACTCAGTCACTCAGTCACTCAGCTAGTCACTCACTCAGTCACTCACCTAGTCACTCACTCACCCACTTCCTCCTGGCGATCAACCTCCACTCACGCGATTCACTCCCACTGGAGCGGAGGAATCTCGGTGAGTAGTAGACAGCCAGCTAGTCACTCACCTAGTCACTCACTCAGCTAGTCACTCACTCAGTCACTCAGTCACTCACTCAGCTAGTCACTCACTCAGCTAGTCACTCACTCAGCTAGTCACTCACTCAGTCACTCAGTCACTCACCTAGTCACTCACCTAGTCACTCACCTAGTCACTCACTCAGTCACTCACTCAGTCACTCAGTCACTCACTCACTCACCCACTCACTCACCCAGTCACTCAGTCACTCACCTAGTCACTCACTCAGCTAGTCACTCACTCAGCTAGTCACTCACTCAGTCACTCACCTAGTCACTCAGTCACTCAGTCACTCACTCACTCAGCTAGTCACTCACACACCCATTCCTCCTGGCGATCAACCTCCACTCACGCGCCTCACTCCCACTGGAGCGGAGGAATCTCGGTGAGTAGACAGCCAGCTAGTCACTCACCTAGTCACTCACCTAGTCACCTAGTCACTCACCTAGTCACTCACCTAGTCACCTAGTCACTCACCTAGTCACTCACTCAGTCACTCACTCAGTCACTCAGTCACTCAGTCAGTCACTCAGTCAGTCAGTCACCTAGCCACTCACTCAGCTAGTCAATCACTCACTCAGTCACTCACTCACTCACCTAGTCACTCACTCAGCTAGTCACTCACTCAGCTAGTCACTCACTCAGTCACTCACCTAGTCACTCAGTCACTCAGTCACTCACACACTCATTCCTCCTGGCGATCAACCTCCACTCACGCGATTCACTCCCACTGGAGCGGAGGAATCTCGGTGAGTAGACAGCCAGTCACTCACCTAGTCACTCACTCAGTCACTCAGTCACTCAGCTAGTCACTCACTCAGTCACTCACTCAGCTAGTCACTCACTCAGTCACTCAGTCACTCACCTAGTCACTCACTCAGCTAGTCACTCACTCAGCTAGTCACTCACTCAGTCACTCAGTCACTCACTCACTCACCCAGTCACTCACTCAGCTAGTCACTCACACACCCACTCACCCAGTCACTCACTCACCTAGTCACTCACCTAGTCACTCACCTAGTCACTCACTCAGTCACTCAGTCACTCACCTAGTCACTCACTCACCTAGTCACTCACCTAGTCACTCACTCAGTCACTCACTCACTCAGTCACCTAGTCACTCAGTCACCTAGCCACTCACGCGCCTCACTCCCACTGGAGCGGAGGAATCTCGGTGAGTAGACAGCCGGTCACTCACCTAGTCACTCACCTAGTCACCTAGTCACTCACCTAGTCACTCACCTAGTCACCTAGTCACTCACCTAGTCACTCACTCAGTCACTCACTCAGTCACTCAGTCACCCACTCACTCACTCACTCAGTCACCTAGTCACTCACCTAGTCACTCACTCAGTCACTCAGTCACTCCTCCTGGCGATCAACCTCCACTCACGCGCCTCACTCCCACTGGAGCGGAGGAATCTCGGTGAGTAGACAGCCAGCTAGTCACTCACCTAGTCACTCACTCAGTCACTCAGTCACTCAGCTAGTCACTCACTCAGCTAGTCACTCACTCAGTCACTCAGTCACTCACCTAGTCACTCACTCACTCACTCACCCAGTCACTCACTCAGCTAGTCACTCACTCAGCTAGTCACTCACTCACCCACTCCTCCTGGCGATCAACCTCCACTCACGTGATTCACTCCCACTGGAGCGGAGGAATCTCGGTGAGTAGACAGCCAGCTAGTCACTCACCTAGTCACTCACTCAGTCACTCAGTCACTCAGCTAGTCACTCACTCAGCTAGTCACTCACTCAGTCACTCAGTCACTCACCTAGTCACTCACCTAGTCACTCACCTAGTCACTCACTCAGTCACTCACTCACTCAGTCACTCACTCACTCACTCAGTCACTCACTCAGTCACCCACTCACTCACTCACTCAGTCACCTAGTCACTCACCTAGTCACTCAGCTAGTCACTCACTCAGATAGTCACTCACTCAGTCACTCACTCACTCAGTCACTCACCTAGTCACTCACTCAGCTAGTCACTCACTCAGTCAGTTACTCACCCACCCACTCAGTCACTCAGTCAGTCACTCACCTAGTCACTAACGCGCCTCACTCAGTCACTCACTCAGTCACTCACTCAGTCACTCACTCACCTAGTCACTCACCTAGTCACTCACTCAGCTAGTCACTCACTCAGTCACTCACTCACTCAGTCACTCACTCACCGAGCCACTCACTCAGTCACTCACTCACTCAGTCACCTAGTCACTCAGTCACTCACTCACTCACCTAGTCACTCACTCAGCTAGTCACTCACCCACCCACTCAGTCACTCACTCAGTCACTCGCCTAGTCACTCACTCAGTCACTCAGTCACCTAGTCACTCAGTCACTCACCCACCCACTCACTCAGTCACTCACCTAGTCACTCAGCTAGTCACTCACTCAACTAGTCACTCACTCAGTTACCTAGTCACTCACTCACTCACTCAGCTAGTCACTCACTCACTCAGTCACTCACCTAGTCACTCACTCACTCAGCTAGTCACTCAGTCACTCACTCAGCTAGTCACTCACTCAGTCACTCAGTCACTCACTCACTCACCTAGTCACTCACTCAGTCACTCACTCAGTCACTCACTCACTCACCTAGTCACTCACTCAGTCACTCACTCAGTCACTCACCTAGTCACCTAGTCACTCACCTAGTCACTCACTCAGTCACTCACTCAGTCACTCACTCACTCAGTCACTCACTCACTCACTCAGTCACTCACTCAGCTAGTCACTCACTCACTCAGCTAGTCACTCACTCACCTAGTCACTCCCTCAGTCACTCAGTCACCTAGTCACTCACTCAGCTAGTCACTCACCCACCCACTCAGTCACTCACTCAGTCACTCACCTAGTCACTCACTCAGTCACTCAGTCACTCACTCAGTCACTCACCTAGTCACTCAGCTAGTCACTCAG